GTTGTCTCTGCTGTTGTTTCTTTACAACTCAAGATGTGTGAAATGTGAAGTATGAGGAAGGGGACAGTTGCAGCTGATGCCCACACAACAACATGTGTATTTTTTTCTAAATACATGCTCAGATACGTATGTAATTACTGAGGGTGTGAATGAGGTCATGTTGTCATTGTAGACACCTGCGTTGAAAAAGGTTCCATTAGATGGCATCAGTGACAATGAACAATAAACAATATAATGACATGTATGCATACATATTATGTTTCAACTTGTCAATCATTCTGAGTCATCATACCAGTTAAGGAGTATCAAGGTGTGTCTCACTTATTTATGTCCAAATGCTACACTGGAATTCACAGATGGGTGTTGACTCTTATCTGTGGTTACACATCATACAGTAGAAAGGAGAACAGATCTAAACTGAGATAAGACAGAACAAGGATGTTCTGTGGTGACGTTATGGCACGTTATGGAAAGATAAAGGTGCAGTGTGGTTTGACCTTTATGGCTGGTTTAATAAAAAAGGTGTGGGGCCCTGTTTTGGTCAAGTGTGCTTGACGCTGAACAGGGCTGATTAGAGAGCCATACCACACTGCCACACATGTTGAATACTTGAGTCTTTCCTAGTCTTGTAAAAGAGGGTTTTTATATACAAAGATGGTAAAGATGTTCAGCACTTGACATGTGACCTAATATGGAGCCACCTCAGTGACCTAGTGGACTGCACACATATAAGGTTGTGGTATTTTGGGCGAGCTGATGTGTTATATAATGTAATTAGTTATATGATTTTAACTTTGTATTTTTATTCCGTAATACTCTTAGTGTTAGTTCTATAGCTATCAAAAACTAAACCTGGACCCAAACTGATTTCTGGAGTGGAACTGCCACTCATATTTTACTGCAACGATTAACTGATTAAATAATTTGTTGTCAGCTATTAAATTAACCTCTACTTATTTCGATAATTAATTGTTTTGAGTCCTGAGTTTTTGTGTCCAAATTATCTGATTTCAGCTTTCCAAATATGAATATTTCCTGGTTTCTTTAGTCCTCTATGATTTGGGTAATGTACAAAACAAGACATTTAAGGACGTCACTTTGGGCTTTTGGGAAAACATTTTTCACCCTTTTCTGGCATTTTATGGACAAAAGAACTAACTGAGAACAGATTAATCGACAATGAAAATAATCGTTAATCGTGGTCCTAAATTTATGAAAGCTTGCCAACAGTTTAGCGTGCAAATACCTGGAGGATAGAAGAACATTGAGAAAGAGTAAATCGAGCAATCCTGAGAAAAGCCCTGTTCCTTCTCACATATTGAATCAAAATAGGTGAATGAAGGTACATTTTGGACAGAAATAACATTTAATTGCACTGCAAATTAAATTGAAAACTAATTCCACCTGTCCCATCCAGTTTGCACATTGTCCGTTTGTAATGAGTTGTCTAGACTGTCTGTAAAATGAATAGCCTGTGGGCCATTCACTTAGTGGAAAATATTAAAACAGAACAAGATACACAAGGACGGGACCTATAAGTGGACGATGACGCTGTAGCTAATACAGGGGCTATAATTATTTATTTTCAAGCTGAGGGTACTGGTAATAAATTGCCTTGTCTCGTTTTAGCCCTAAATAGCTTGCAAACTTCCAACTTTGATAGTTTAGAGTAAAACCTTTTTTTGTGTGTGCGTGTGCTGATAGATTTAGCAAAGGAACCAATGTTTGCAACAACATTATCATCTAACTACATATTACTATGAAATACTAGACACCTCCGGACCATCAGAGGTTGTTTGCAAAAGGAGGAAGATCTACAGCACTCCCTGCATTTGAAAAAGGGAGGACAGAATTTAAGTGAATGAATGGATAAACAAATAAATAAATATATGTGCATAAAGGGAAGTCAGATTGCTGCCCTCTGTTGGTTATGTTTAAAGCTGTGCGTGACATGACTGGACCTGCTAATGTGAAATTACAGTCTGTTCCTGTTTTACCACAGAGAACATTTTAACTGGCAGGAATTCAGTATTTCATGGAAAATATCAATCACATAAAAATGTAAAAAAGTCGTTTCTAAAAAAATTTCTGTTTTTTTTATGTAATGTTGCGGGTTGCAGAGGATAAAGTTCAGATTTAATCAAATAAAAATCTAATCAAATCTTATTTTTTCCTCTAAACTATGTGGCTTTTTGTTGTATGAATTTTTATTTTGGTTTTTTACTGGTGGGAAAGTTAATCAGACATTCATCGGTTATGAATAAACACCAGCACGATCTTTACACATGTATTTACTTGAGTCTGCACGTGTCAGTTAATGGTAATCAACAGTCTTGTATAGTGGGTTCAAGTAGCAAGGTTTGCTATTTAAACAGCCACAAAGTATTATTCACTCAGAAATGTATTTTACAGTGCAACATCTGAAGTGCCATATCATTTGGTTTACTTTAAGCTGACACATTGTGCTTCACTGAACTTTTGAAGATGAAAAACATTTTATCGAAAACTCTCTCAAGGTTTTGTTTTAGGATGACCTTGAACTTGATTATCAGCCCATCCTTTAAGTCTGTTTCAAGCCAGTATTCAGATCTGATTCATACCTGCACTTGAGTACGTCCTTAACTGATGTGACTACCTTTTACCTCTTTTCATTTTTATTTATTTATTTATTTATTCTTGTTAACCAATTAACCAAACACTGCAAATATTTATTTATTTTAATATTTGGAATCAGTTTTTATTGTCAGCACCATTTATAATAAAAATTGTGACAGAGTTCCAGTGTGTTCATAATACTCAGGGAAGGCCTTGTCAACAAAAGTTGACTTTTGTTTTTTTAATTATTATATATATATATATATATATATATTTTTTTTTACATAAAGGTTTTAAGATGTGGCAGCTACACGAGAAGTTTCAAAGTTCAGATTAATTAATATCAAGCACAACAAGTACCCTATATTTTCACTTTATATTTATAACCTATTTTTTGTTGTTGCATTTTCCCATATATTTATATTTAATTTCTCATTAATATGGCCCAATTACAGAAAACGGGTGTAATTGTTTTAAAATGTGTATTTAACGTGTTTTCACTGCACTCATTTATAAAATATAAAAAGCACACGCAGTGACTAATGAAAAACAGCACATTCTAGATGAGATTTTTCTTAATGGTGACAACAATGCGCTGCCTCAAAGGACAAGTCCAGTCAAACATGCAACGCACAATGCGGTGCCTCCAATAAAACAAAATGTTCTCTGCGTTGAATCCTCTCTGCACGTGCTGCCGGTTGAGCCGTGTTAATCGAGCCAAAATATCTACAACACTGTTCCGGGAAGGCGTGCACCACACGGGTCTGCCGTTTCAGGACGTTCCGTGTATGAGCCTAAAAACGACATAATTCTGACTTTTAATGAATATTAAAAGCATTTTGTGAAACCTGCTTCATTGTCGGATTGCAAAGCGGCGCATTAAGGCCGGTGGCGGTGTTTCTACGGTGTTCCTGGTTAATGTAGGTCAAAGCAGTGACGGAAGGGTGTCCTCCGTTGAACCCGCGGTATTAATCCACATCGCAGTCCTGCAGATGGCGCGCACAGTCAACCGAGTGCCCTGGGTGCTCACCACGGCACTCACACAACAATATCCGTACGGAGCCTTCCCCAGCCTGAGAGATGGCGATTGTTTGAAGCAACACAGGTCTCTCTCCCCTGTTACAGCTCGGGGGGCTATGAAAGCAAAGTTCAAGAGTGCAGCTCTTCAGAAATAGAGTTTTTCACACCCTGTACGTGCAACAGCTCAGGAGGCAGGACGGTGTGAGAGAGGGCTGGACGAGCGTAACCTTAGTTGACCTCTTTGTCACTAAAAGCTCGTCTTTTGAGACGCAGGGCTACTTCCACTGCCCGTGCTGCTGCCTGTGGGCTGTAATACACACGACTCACACACATTCATTATATATTGGAAGTAGCTATTAGACACAACCCTCAGCCTGCTCCATTATTCTGATCTGAACTACAGACAAGCGTGTGCGCACACACGCACACCTGTCACTGTCTAGACAGGGAGGGGGCATTAAGGCGGTGGGTGCAGGGGGGATCCCACATGACCCATTACTGCTTTATTCTATGCCAGCCAGAATATATCTCAAGGCGTTGGATAATGACAAAAAAAAAAAAAAATCAACAACAACAAGAGGAAAAAGCAATCGCTCTACTAAATCTGATTGGCCGGCTGAACCGACACGAATTTTTTTCCCTGCTCGCTAACTCGAGGTCAGCTCGGGACGTTAAAAAATAAATAAATGAGAAAATAGAAATGCGTAGAAAGTAGAAGACACGGCCGACAATCTAGCTTGTTGGTGCTGGAGATGATTGACAGCGCTGCTGTCCAATGAGAGGCCGCGGCGCAGCTGGCTCGCTGTACTGGCAGAGGCGACGTCCAATGCAAAGTTCAGACGCATGATGGACACATAACTGACAATTCCCCCGTCCTTTTGATCCAGACTGGGGATAGATTTGAGTTCATTCACAATTGTGAACGCTGATATTTTGAACAGTAGACGCCGGAGCCCACACGATCACAACATGTATACGTTTAAATCAAATAAAAAGGGTGTGATTGGTGGGTGAAGTGCGCGCTCTCGCTGCGGACAGGTTTTAAGCCTGCATGTTTTACAGCTTTCATCGCATACTGTGGCATCCTTTTATAGAAAACTGCTGTGTTGCTGCTCAGGCAGGAGCAAACTTAAACACCCAGAGTAGGAGGAACGATACTACTACTACAACTACTATTACTATAACTCCCACCACTTCCAGAGAACCATAATGGAGCCGGTTTCACCGACCCACTGTGCGCTCTGCGATTGGGGCACAATAATGTTGACGGATTTCTGATCCAACCCAAGACAGTGCACTGTTCTTCCAATAGCAGCTTTAAGTGAAAAGGCGTGCCTGCCTGCTTTGCCCCCCTTCCTCCTCCTCCTCCTCCTCCTCCTCCTCCTCCACCACCCCTCAAAGTACTCGATGTATAGTTAAAAAATGGGAGGGCACACTTGAACCGAGCTGCTCTATGAAGGTAGGCTGCAGCGTGTGTTTATTGATGAGATGAAAAGAAGATGGAAGTGAGAAATGAAACAAAGTAAAGGAACATATTAAAAAAAACTATACGCGCTTCGTCGGGGGAAAACAGGGGGAGCCTTGGAAACGCTGTCGCCACTTTTTAAACGAGCTTCGAAGTGCAGGTAAGAAATTTAAGAAAAGTAGGAAAAGGGATGGGTCTTTTACAACATCTATAACGCTGTTATCACAGGGGAGAAATAAGAGGAATTTCCTATACAAGAGGTGAAAACACGCTCGTTGACTTTAGGGGGATATGCATGAAATACCTCTGACTTCCATGTAGTTGTAGCTGGCTTTACCAACCAAATATCACGCTCTACATGATCGGAAACTTCATTGTTTAGAGGAGCTCAGACATTCAATAAACGTGACGCCAGCGGACGAGATGAAGTGAAACGAGTCCCTCATGTTAAGGGGCTCAGTTTTTGGCTGCCAGGGGGTTTTGTTGTCCGTTTCTATTCGACTACAAAAACGCGCTGCCCTGGCTGGCATGACGCAAGTTTCCCATCTGTCATTATTCCAAGCGTGCCCCTTTACCTTTAGCCCTTTACTTTCGGATTTGCCCGTGAGCCGGGGCAGGGGGACACTTGAGAACAATACTCTGGTCAAACTGTGTTCACAGGTCTGTTTCTCACAAATCAGCCCCCCCAAAAAAAGAAGAAAAAAAAAAAAAAAACCTGAGCGAGGCTCGCAGTGCTGCTTGTTCACATTTTACACACTGAGCCCGGAACAACTGTGGCAGCCGACGTGCGCATTTGGCTTTTAGGTCAGTTATTTGAATCAGAGGAAACGCGTTTCCTTATTGCAATTATAACGACTATAACGTACTCTCACTGGAAATCCGCTTCTTAAATATATTCCAGTTTGGTGAACTTGCCGGGAACGATAGGCTCGATGTCTGAAATACATCATTACCTATATCAGCGGCTCAGCGCTTGTACTCAGACAGATGTCTAGCCTACATTTTTTATGAATTAATATCGATACGGCGTGGCGTTTATGAGATGGGGTTACATTTAGATAGGCTCAGCAGGCGGAGAAAGGCTGGCTAATATTGTGTGTGGAGGTAAAACAATACCGCAGGTTCAGTTTCTGAGATAAATCAGAACTAGATCCAGTGGGACTCCGGACTGGATTCTGGTGCCATGTTTCTCCAAAAATGAATGATCACTTTAATCGTCGCAATCCGCTTTTACTCACAGCCTACAGTGCGTGGAAAATGTTTGCGATGTGAGGATGTTTTTTGGCAAAGGGTGGCCTAGATATGGGGCCATGCTCTGGTGTAATTAAAGTTGCAAGAGACGCTTCCTGCGTGCCTTTTGAGACATTTTGTTGCAAAATATTCATGAGCAACTCGTGATTCCTTCGCTCTTGCTTATTAGATGGCAGCACAGAGGTACTTCACCTCTTGGATAAAGTTAAAATATGTCTATATGTTAAGTGTTGGCGCAATAAAAAATAAATAAATGGAGCAATGACTCCCCAAAATCCACTGAAAGGGCCGTAGGGAGTTGAGCAACATGTCAGTTTTGATCTTTTAGGGCTCCATCTATCCGTGCGTGTTGTTCGTGCGCGTGTACGTGTGTGTGTGTGTGTGTGTGTGTGTGAGGCTGAGAAAAAGGGACCGAACGCGTGAGTGCATGTGTGTGTGTGGCAAACAGATGTTGTCCCGAAGCGCTCGGCTTTGTCAGATAAAAAGAGTAATACATCATGTACTTGTGTCTATTAGAAGCGCCGCTGATAGTCCCTACAATACAACACGTTCTGGGTCTGATTAATAGACACAGACTCGCCTATAGCCCCAGAAGTGGTGCGCGCAGGTATAAAGCTTTGCGTCAACGCATTAGTCCTGTCAGAGGTTGGTTCTGGTGTGGTCAGTGAAGCGGTTTCCGTTAGAAGACGCAAGTAGACACAAACAAGAAGGCCGGTCCCGGGTTTGACACATGAGGGGAGGCTGCATAAGAGCGCAGCGCTGCGTCCAGCTTCCTCCAAGCGCACACACGGTCTGTGGCTGTGCACCTGTGTGTCTCTGTGTGTGTGTGTGTGTTTACCACATAATTGTGCGTTCATCCCTTTTCACTTTTGTTGTGATCACTTCCTCTCTCTCTCCCCCCCCCCTGCCTTCATTCAGAATATGTTTCCACAACGTAAATGGGCTGCAGTCCTATATGCTTGGTTATGTAATTGGTGGCTGCACTGGATGATTTGTTTTCTGAATGGACACATTTTCAGAACACGGTGCTGAGAGTACAGCCCGGTGTACAGCAGAAATGCAACATTTCACTTTGATGTAAGATTTCAGCTGGGCATAATTATAAATCTGTCCTATGAATTGGAGCATATTGATTGACAGGCTTGCATGTGGGTGAGTAAAGTGAAAATTATATTGTCACAAAGACTATGCTGGTTGGAATACCCTTCATCTGAAAAGAAACTCCACATAAACTTAATACCTGTATTTTTGGACATTTTATTGTTTGATGAATTGGAGGGTACTTGTCTTGTGTGTGAGTGAGCTCTCACCACGGCTTGATGTCAAAAACTCTCGTTTTATCAGCACAGAGGTGTACAGTAGCTGCTGAAAGAGAGACAGCCATTATGTGCCTTGGGAGTGTTTGTAGTCCAGAATATCAGGTGCCCAGTTCCATCTCAGTTAAGTCACTAATGAGTATTTATATGTATATATTCCTCATGTGCATTAATATTCACAGTGTTTGAGCCATCGCCATTTGCCCGCTTTCTGTGTCACGGCTAAAACCCACCCATGACTAATGAATATTTAAGAGCATGTCTGCAGACCAAGGAAACTCATTATTATATGAAGGAGACCCAGCAGATAAACTGTAGACCTTCTCAGATGAAGGCAAGGGGGGATAGAGAGGTGTTCAGCTAATTCACACTCAGCAATCAATCCCAATTTTCTTTTGGCTTCACCATCCTTCACTCGTCCTCTGTAGCTTGTCACCCCCTCTTCACATTCACCAGTTTATTATTGACCAACAAACTGACATAATGTGTCCGTAGCATTCAATGTTGAAATGTTTTCGAGTGGATTTAGTCACTCTTTCGCACATTTCTCCCACCTGATTATCTGGGTTTACTCAAGTGAAAATGTGTAAGGATACCATGCTGCACTAATGTAATGAGTGCTGCTTTGGAAGAGACATGTAACAAAAAAAACAATCGTCTTGTACTGTACATGCACACAGATGGCAGGTCAGTATTCCAAAAAATTTTAAGCGCAGCAAAGGCACTGCTGCCCAAATAGACAAGAGATATCTCTCTGAAGCCTCCGCAATGCCACATTTCTGGTTGTTGTTAATCCCACACCATCCAACCATCTCCAGGCTTTCACCAGGTTATCCTGATGGCCCATAACCTACATAATTACATTTATAAATATATGTTCATTAACCTGAAAAGGTTTTTTGGTGGTTTAGTGGACGGTATGTAGTGGGAAGAGGATGGGAAAGGTGGGAGAAAGCATGTAATATTGGTTATGAGTGGAATTCACCTCAGTCCACTGAATCATGGAGTGCTTTTTATTTTTTCATGTATTTTGTTGAGTAAAATGTTGTTTTATTTTATCATTTCCAATTTACAAAGTGTACATTTGGTTGCAAATTTAAGCAGACACTGGTAATATAATAATCAAATATTTTATTACATTAAAAGTAAAATTTATTTAGCAATTTATAATTCCAAATAGGGTATTTTACCATAGTATGACAGGAGACCAAGAAAAAATATGCACTTGAGTCCATCCTGGCACTTTGTCTACCCCAGTTGAACATATTTGGCAGCCATTTTGGGAATGCAGTAGAGATCCATCGATATAACGAGCCACTTTGTGGATTGCATCCAGAATGTCACAGTGCTTGTTAACTGCTTGGCCTTTTTGTCTCAGACAGTGTTTATCCTTTTCCCCCCTTTTTGTTCCTGTATAATACTCGTTAGAAGAATATTCCCCCATGGAGCAAAACTAATCTTTGATGTGATTGCCAGCTGAGACTGTTTTCAGGTGCACACCTTAAAGTTAATGGTAAGTCTTATAATTAACTACAGAGTAGCTTTTAAGCCTTTAATAGACTTTAAGCTTAAAGATTTTTTTTATTTTTTATTTTTTATAAAGAGCGCATAAAGTTTTTCACCTGATGTTTATTGCAAAGACTGTTTTACAGCAATTGCAGCTTTTATACTGCAATCCCAGTTGCCATGGTAACCTTAAAAAAAAACCTAAAATACCGCTAAAGCTTCAGATACTTATTTATTTTTCTTCATATAAATTTATCATAATACAATATCATCAGACTAGTGAGTGCTGGCTAACTCCACCTCGGTGGATTGTTAGCGTACATGGATCTTTGCAAACTAGAAATTATTGGCAGACTAGCTGCCTCCTGGCTAACTGGCTTGGATCCGTCTACCCACAAAGCACCTTTTTCACACATAACGTGCTTCTCTTCACATGATGCGTTTTTTTTTTAATTCTTGAAAATACTAATAACGCTAATTGCAGGACCTATTGAGAATCCATACAGTTTGCTTTTGTAATTAAGGAGAGAATTCCCCCTTAAGCTGCATTATGCAACACAAAAATGCTGTTATGATGAGTTATGGTGATTTCCTTCGAGCTATAAGGAAAGGATGGAAAATAATATGCCTTGTTTAAAGGGAAGGAAAAATGTGTCTTGTTTATTGATGGGGGTGATCATTTTCCAGGATGAAAATACTTTGGAAAAAACTAAAGGTTTTTATTTCGCAACCAGTATGTTATGTATTATGCATTCATAATGCTTAGAAAAGACTTCCATGACAGCTAGCCTTCACATTTGTGTAAACTGGCTCAATTTGTTAATTCATTAAGCAGGATTTTTTCTTTTAAATGCTCATCCTTTTAGAAATTTGGCAGCCAGAATCTAAAAAACTGGTCATTAAAATGACTTTTATAAAACTTAATTTCACTCAGTGAACCCAGTGTCTTTCAAAGCATGCAGCATGTGGAAAACTGACAAACCAAAAACTTTTAAGGCATGTTTTTCAGTTTTCAAAGGACTTTTGTTTTGGAATCTCCCCTCCCTGAAAGTATCACAGGAATGCGTAATGAAAGCACACATTGAGA